ATTAGATAGGATGGAGGCCTGGTGGACAGGTGGGGGCTGGCTGGTTTGCCCCAGGTCAGGGTGGGAGTTCCCTTGGGGCATGGGGCAGCCTGGGTGAGTGGCCTGTGGTGGTTTGCAGGCCATCCATGCTCCCCAGCAACCTAAGTGGAAGCCCTGGTATCTGGGATTTATTTATCTTCTACCATTGAAACTTTGTATCCTTGAGCAAAGGCCAGGGCAGGCCAGGGCGTTGGGAAGCTTGGCTTCCTCTGTTGCCAGAGGCAACCCAAGCCTCCTGCTTGCTCAAGCTTCATGGCCACAGCAATCTTGGTTGGGTTAATTTGCATACTTGCTTCTGATTGGTTGGTGGGTGTGGCTTGTAGGCATAGTGGAGGTACAGTCAATTTGCATGTTTCTCTTTCATTAGATAGGATGACCAGTGTCCCACTAAAAATGAGAAGTTCTATTACTGAGGAATAAGGTAAAATATACATAGGGTTATAACTAGGAATCTCTGCCACACTTACCTTCTAGCAGCATCTTCCTTAAACCAACCTGCCATTCTGGACAAACTCGCTCCTGGTCCATTTAAACATAAAAAACCCCAGCTGCTTCTGTCCTTTAAACTAGAGCAGTGTTTCCCAAACTTCTCTCATGATGAGAATCACCTGGTGGAGTTGTTAAACTACAGATTCCTGAATGCCAGCTAAGAAGTGCTAAACTAGAATTTTGGGGAACATAAGTAAAATTGTATACTTAACTAGTGCTCTAAGCTTACTTAGAGCTTAGAGCACTAGTTAAGTATAGAGCACTGCTTAAGTATACAATTTTACCTATATGTTCCTAAAAATTCTAGTTTAGCACTTCTTAGCTGGGATTCAGGAATCTGTATTTTAACAACTCCACCAGGTGATTCTCATCATGAGAGAAGTTTGGGAAACACTGATCTAGAGGAACAGTCTATTTGGCAGCCAATCAGGTACTTATTTTGTAACAGCCCTTATTAATGAAGTCATTTTTAAAATGTATCTTTATTGTTGACAGTATTATGGAGGCTCTTCTCCTTTCCCCCATTGACTCCCTCCACCCAACTCCTGCCCCAATAATGTGGTCATAATAATTAAAGCATTGTTTAGATTTTCCTCGCCTAATCCTCTCAGCCAGTCTGTATAAAAGTATAACATATCACATATGTATAGTATATAATACTTGATCATGATGATAAGAACTATGTTACTGGTTTATGTACTTAATATACATTGCATCATTATTTTAATGTGCTCTTTTTACTTATGAAAAAAACTCTGCTGTCAAACAGTATACCTGTACACCAACAACAGCCTCATACATCTCATGTTTAATCTCTCTCTTGATTACATCATTTTCTCTCGTGCTTGATTTAAGCTCCTGTTGTTTTGTACAGTAACATGCTGTAGCCTAGGAGCAACAGGCTACATTGTACAGCCAAGCTATGTAGCAGGCTATACAATCCAGATTTGTGTACATGCACTCTATGATGTTTGCACAGGATGAAACCCCCAAAGGAGAATTTCTCAGAACAATTCCTTGCCTATATTAAGGAGCTAGTTGGGCATGACACTGAACAATAAGAATTACATAGCTCGGGCTCTCTATATATTATACTGGAGGTCCGGTGTATGAAATTAGTACACAGGGGATGGGGGGGGGGGGGTGTCCTTCAGCCCAGCCTGCACCCTCTCCAATCTGGGATCCCTCTCACAATCCAGGACTGCTGGCTTATACCAACTGCTCATGTCCTGTCTTCCTGATTGCCCCTAACTGCTTCTGCCTGCCAGCCTGATCACCCCCTAACCACTCCCCTGCCAGCCTGATTGATGTCTAACTGCTCCCCTATCAGCCTGTTTGCCCCTAACTGCCCTCCCCTGCTGGCCTGGTCCCTCCAACTGCCCTCCCCTGCTGGCCCATCTTATGGTGGCCATCTTGTGTCCACACAGGGTCAGGATCCTTGACCACATGGGGCAGTCATATTGTGTGTTAAGAGTGATGGTCAATATGCATATTACTCTTTTATTAGATAGGATAGAGGCCTGGTGCATGGGTGGGGGTGGCTGGTTTGCCCTGAAGGGTGTCCTGGATCAGAGTAGGGGTTCCCTTGGGGTGTGGGGCGACCTGGGCAAGGGGCCTGTGGTGATTTTCAGGCCAGCCATGCCCCCTGGCAATGCAAGCAAAGGCCCTGGTATCTGGGATTTATTTATCTTCTACAATTGAAACTTTGTAGCCTGGAGCAGATCCAAGCCTTCTGCTCACATCTTGGAAGCAGGGGATTTGTTTATCTTCTATAATTGAAACTTTGTAGCCTTAAGCAGAGGCCTGGGCCAGCCAGGGTGTGTGGAAAGCTTGGCTTCATCCATCTCTGAGGAAACCTAAGCCTCCCTCTTACTCTCTCTGTGGCTGCTGCCATCTTGGTTGGATTAATTTCCAAACTAGCTCCTGATTGGCTGGTGGGTGTGGCAGAATGATGGTTAATTTGTGTATTACTCTTTTATTAGATAGGGTATGTATATTAGCATAAATGCAAGTACTGGAGAGTTAAGCCAAGAACATTAACATATGTTCCCCTTACCTTTTCAGAGCAGCAAAGAGAGTAATCTTACAACTGCTGTGAAAAGTGGAGAAACTGATACTGTCCTTTTCTTCAACGGAAAACTCTTCAGTGTATTAAATCAATTTGGGGATTTTAGTTTGTATTTTGGATGACTTGGTCATGTTTACTTTGGGCAGGTTTCAGGCTTGCTGCTTTCATGTCAAAGGAAGACAATGTAGCAAATATAAAAAAAGTTTCTGGAATCAAATAGTTTCTTTTATCCCAGTATCCAATGCATAAGATAATAGCAATTATCCATGAGTACTTATTACGTGACAAAACATGCTGGAGTGTACACTGCATAACTCTCAGCATGAAAACAGGTGTGACTCTTTTTGCAGAAGAGGAAATGGATGCTCCAGAAAGTTATTAACTAAGATGACACAATAGAAAGGAAGTATAGCAGAATTCACATCTTCCTGTTTCTGAGCTCATTCCCTTAACTACTAATCAGGGATGCAACAATGAATTCCTTTAGTCTGGCCTCATAGTAAAGAGTACATCTATGTATTGTATGTAAAACGTTATGACCAAATAACCGGAACTACTGGAATGATTGGTCAACCAGTCACTATGACCCGCACTGACCACCAGGGGGAAGACGCTCAAAGCAGGAGCTGTCTCCTAGTGGTCAGCCCGCTCTCACAGACAACCCTCCCTACCCCCTCAGGGGAGGGGCTTCAGGAGGTTGGCTGGCCGGCCCCCTGATTGGGACCATGGAGGAGGGTGGGGGGAATGTCACATTGAAACCCAGTCCAAAGTACTTAAAAGTACTTTTTTTGCTCAGCTGGCATGGCTCAGTGGTTGAGAATCAACCTATGAACCAGGAGGTCATGGTTGGATTCTGGATCAGGGCACATACCCAGTTGCAAGCTTGATCCTCAGTGGGGGACATGCAGGAGGCAGCCGATCAATTATTCTCTCATCATTGATGTTTCTATCTCTCTCTCCCTCTATCTTCCTCTCTGAAATCAATAAAAATATATTTTAAAAAATGAAAGAGTACTTTTCCATAAAGTTTCTTCATGTCAGAAATATGTAAAAGAGTAATTTTCCATATAAAGTTTCTTCATGTCAGAAATGATACACTTATACACTATTAAGCACTACAAATGTGAAAGATTAGATCACTACTATCTTCAAGCAGCTGGGGATATCCACGGGTGGTATTAATCTATCAGTTGGAAGACTAAGTAACAGGCATTATGATAGTATTATGCATACAATACAATGTTTTAAACCCACCGTTTTCAGTTGTTTACACAGACCATCTGTAACTGCCTGTGAGTCATGTTAGGAGTTATCCAATGACATTTATGTAACATTTGTCATGTAGCAAAATGTGTCGTATAGAAAAATGGACACGTAAATAGCTTTAAGGTATCACTAAACCAACTGGAGACACCAGATTATAGGTGCAACCCACTGATGTGCAGTCTCCAGGTAAATATAGTTTATGACTTGATTAAAGAAAAGAATAGCACCTCACTCCAAGCCCTCTGTGTGCACAGACCAAAAGGCCTCTTGTATCCAGCGAGGCTACTTTGTTGCACCATTTTGTCCCCGTGCAATGATCCCGTGGGGAGTTTCCAAAGTGGTGAGAAGGGAAGAGGTGGGAGACACCTCTGCAAAAGAAGTGGCGGTGCAGGGTCCTCATCAGTCGCAGCGGTAAAGAAATGCAAAATCTTCGCAGGGGCTGTGGTTGGCGGAGGAGGCGGGACGCGTTAGCGCTGTCAAAGGAACCTCAGGGATGGATAATAGATAGCGGGGTGGGGAGGCGGGTGCCCCGGAAGAAGGATGTAGGCCAGCGGGTCTCCGCCGGCGACGCGCTGGGGAAGGGGGGAGGTTGGGGGGGGGGGACAGGAAGGAGGGCGCCTTAGACCCGGAGGCAACTTCACGCAGCGGCCAGAACCCGGCTGGGCCACCAGGGGGCGCTGCTGCGGTGCTCCTCCCCCAAAGCCTCTGCGCTCCTCCTCCCAGACACGTGACCGCCATCGCCGCTGCCCCGGCTCCCGCAGCGCAGCAGCTTGCTCTGTTTCTGCCTCCCGCCGCCGTGCCCTTCTTCTCCCCGGTTCCCATTTCTCCCGTCTCCCCCCTCCTCTCCCCGCGTCCCAATAGCGGCCCGAGCTGCCGAGCGCCCGCCCCGCCACCCGTCCCGGCGCCTGCTCATTGGCTGGAGCCTCAAGGACGCGTCCCGAGGGCGGGAGGCAGCCATTGGTGGGATGAGCGATCCGAGTGCCCGGATGAGGGAACATTCTGCGGTATAAAGGGAGCGGGGAAGGCGGGAGACGGCGCAGTTTGAATCGCGGTGCGAGGGAGTCGGCGGTGGGATCGCGCCGGGCGTCTGACTGCTCCTTTCTCTGCCTCGCTCGCTCGGGCTTCGGCAGGATTCGAAATGGTAAACTTCGCGGGGGCCGTCGGAGGCTCCGCGGGTTTTTTTTTGTTTGTTGTCGTTTATTTTTTTTACACCGGAGGAGAGGGGAACACCCGGAGCTGCGGGTGAAGCGGCGGCGGTTGGGGACGCGCGGAGACAGTATTTGGGGGAGCCGAGGGGGGCAGGCGATGGTGCCGGGGGCGAGCCGGCCGCCTCCGATCCCGCGGCGGGCGGCGACGGTTGAGTGGCGCGCGCGGCGCCGCCGGGGAGCCGCGGGCGCGAACTGGCGAGCGGGGGCGCGCGGCCGCGGCGTGCGGGCGGGCGGGCGGGCGCGCAGCGGGGGGCGTGCGGGCGGGATCGCCCCGGCGGCGCGCGGCGGCCCCGAGACCCCGGCGGCGGGGCCGGGGGGGGGGGGGAGGTGGGGGGGCGCTGGATGGGGCGGGCCGCGCCGCGGTGGGGGAGGGGCGCGCCGCCCCGGTAATCCTATATTCTCCGTTCCCCCTTCCCTCGCTGGCGGGCGTGTGCGCGCCGTAGGCTGGCGGTAAGGCTGGGAAGGACTCCGGAAAGGCCAAGACAAAGGCGGTTTCCCGCTCGCAGAGAGCCGGCTTGCAGGTCAGTGGCGGCTCAGTTGCAGCCTTGGGGGCGGGGGGGGGGGGGAATCGTGGCGTCTCCCGATCCTTTTTCTTGCGCATCATTGCTTCTGGATGAGCGTGTCCTGTCTGTGCGTGGGTGATGCGGTGTTGCGACTTGTTTTGCGGATTGGATAAATATCGGGGCGGCGGGGGGGGGGGAGCGATCACGTGTGTCGATGCGGGGGGGGGGGGGTGTGAACGGACCCCGTTGCTGCACCAGCGTCCTTGCTCCTTGCTTTGGCGCGCGCTTGATTTTTTTTTTTTTCATCTTTGATTCATATCTCTTGTGCATTTGTTTTTGCTTGAAAATGTTAAGTTTCCAGTGGGCCGTATTCATCGGCACCTGAAATCTAGGACGACCAGTCATGGACGTGTAGGCGCCACCGCTGCCGTGTACAGCGCAGCCATTCTGGAGTACCTCACCGCAGAGGTAACCGGGTGCACGCCTATAATCTGGGAATGGTTGGCTGGGGGGGGGAAGCGGTAGGTGGCGAGAGGGAAGGAGGAAAGTGATGCAAGAAAACTCCCAGGCCCTAAAGGCTGCGAGGAGCCTCTGCTAACGCTAGAGGGAGCTGGTGGTCATGAAGGGATCCTACTGAGCTGGAGCTGCTCTTGGAAATAAAATTGCGTGCCCCCTTTATAGCTCAGGCCATTTTGACACTCAGGTAGTGATGGGAAGAGGAGGGAGACAATTGCTAGATGTATATGTTCGTGAAGGTGTGTTCTGCTCTGGATCTTGGCCTTAAAAGAACCACTGGGAGAAAATTGATGAGTCTTTGCCTTGTAGGTACTTGAATTGGCAGGAAATGCATCAAAAGACTTAAAGGTAAAGCGTATTACCCCTCGTCATTTGCAACTTGCTATTCGTGGAGATGAAGAATTGGATTCTCTCATCAAGGCTACAATTGCTGGTGGTGGTATGTGAATACTAAGATTTTTTACTTCAAATTCCTTGAGGGGAAATAATTCTTAGCTTTTTAAAAAATTCCCATTAGTAATTTCTAATCTAAAAGAGGACCCCTGAGCAAAATTTCACTGATGGTACAGTATGGTTCCATCATGAATATCGATGTAGGGAATAACTTAATGAGTTTTTACTTTGCATACTTGAACTGTCACTTTGAAAGACATCTGCCAAGTTTAACAACTCTTCTGGTTTAAGTAAATGTGTATATCTGATTTTCTAAATGTGTATTAAAAACTAGGATTAATCCCTGTCCCTCTCCTAGGTGTTATTCCACACATCCACAAATCTCTGATTGGGAAGAAAGGACAACAGAAGACTGTCTAAAGAATGCCTGGATTTCATATTATCTCAGGACTCTAAGTACTCTTAACAGCTGTCCAGTGTTGGTGATTCCAGTGGACTGTATCTCTGTGAAAAACACAATTTTGCCTTTTTGTAATTCTATTTGAGCAAGTTGGAAGTTTAATTAGCTTTCCAACCAACCAAATTTCTGCATTCGAGTCTTAACCATATTTAAGTGTTACTGTGGCTTCAAAGAAGCTATTGATTCTGAAGTAGTGGGTTTTGATTGAGTTGACTGTTTTTAAAAAACTGTTTGGATTTTAATTGTGATGCAGAAGTTATAGTAACAAACATTTGGTTTTGTACAGACATTATTTCCACTCCGGTGGATAAGCTCAATAAAGGTCATATCCCAAACAAGTTGTTTTTTTTAAATGTGCTTCATTGTAATAGAATCAATCACCTTCCTTTTGAATAGGTATTCAAGGTATTCATCCATCAATAACCTAAGCATATATCTATAAACAGCAGGCCAAACTGTAAATTGTGTAATTAGCTATTAAAGATTTAAAAACTTTGGCAGGAACTGGAATGGGACAAGTTTTTTAGGCTCTTTGTCCATCTCAGTCTGCATATTGGCCAACCTTGCTGTATCTGACAGCACTGTCCTGGTGCAGGATTGCTGTGGTGGACTGGGGGTAAGGGGGGAGGTGAGGGGGCGAGTAGGCAAATCCTGTATTTGGCTACCTTCACAAAAGGAACTTTCAATTTCGGCCTCAGATAATGTTTTCTGTGCTGCACAATATAGGAAGCTGAATTCGATACTAGGTAACATCTTTTGGGAATACTATTACATTTTACAGAAGGGAATTGGGACTGGTATTTCCAACAAGGGTAACAATAGCTTGAGTGAACATTGTAAAAAAGGTTATTTTGTGATCGAGTTGAGTCTATTGTTTTGACCTTTTGTTTCTGGCAAGTTGTCTCAACCTTCTAAAATTTGGGTTATGACTCCCAAACAATTAGTTGGCCCCTCCCCCAGAGCATTCCCTGGCCATGGTACCTTTCTTCAGTGACAGTACTACATCCCCACAAAGCGGTTTCCTCCTGTTTGGGGCATAAAAAAATTCGGGATAAGACCAAAATCATTGCAAACAGTTGGCTTTGAACCTCACTGGCATCCTATCAGATAATGCAGTGGGATCTGGGTCAGGGGGAATGGTATGTCCTGAAATAAGGCAGGTAAAACCAGCCCCAGAGTAAGGTTCCAACCTGCTCGCTGTGTGCTCTCCACCTGCTCCGGAAGCGCTGCGTCAGGCCTGACAGCCGGTGTCACCTGATCGCACCCTCCGGGCTGCGGCCGGAGGCGGGGCCCGGCCTCTGGGAGTTTTCTGAAAACCGTCCCCACCGCCGGTCCTCCGTTGCCCCCGGCCGCCCAGACCGCGGGCTGCGGCAGGCGGGGGAGGGCGGGCGCGCAGCGCGGCCCCTGCGGCGCCGTCCCAGCCCCGGAGGCCCCTCGCCCCGCGGGGAGCCGGGCCGCTCGGAGCCGGTGGGCGCCGCGCGCAGACGCCGCGGGGGCTCGGGCGCCCGGGGCCGGCGAGGGAGACGGGCTCGCGCCCGGCGGCCCGCGGGGGCGGGGGCGGGGAGGAGGCGGGGCTGCGAGCCGGTGCGCCCGCCGCGCCCCGCCCCGCCCCGCACGCCCCCGCCCGCCGGCTCGCCTCCTCGGCCGCCGCGGCGGCTTCCGCCCGGTCCGCGCTCCGGAGGAAACGGAAGACGCGCCGCCAGCCATGGAGGGGAACCGGGACGAGGCGGAGAAATGTGTGGACATCGCCCGGGAGGCGCTGAACGCCGGCGACCGCGAGAAGGCCCAGCGCTTCCTGCAGAAGGCCCAGAAGCTGTACCCGCTGCCCTCGGCCCGCGGTGAGCCCGCGGCGTCCCTCCCCCCACCCTCTGCTCCCCTCCGCTCCCCGAGGCCCGACCCCGGCCTGCCGCCCCCACCGGCCCCGCGTCCGCCCGACCCCCCGGGACACCGGGAGGAGCTTCCCGACGCCCTGCCGCCCGGGCCAACCGTCCCGCTGGGCACCGGCCTGGATGGCCTGCGAGGTGCCCGCGGGCAGCTGACAGGCGAGAGCTGCGGGTTCCCGGTCCGTTTTCAGAAACGTCTGGCTGCCATTCCACCGGGAGAATGTCCCTGGGAGACTGGTCAGCTCCCCACCTAGCCTCCCCAGAGTGGGCTTTATTTCCAGGCGGGGTGTGCGGCCCTCTCTCCCTCCCCACCCTCCCCCCAAAGGAGGCCTGGACCCCCAGTGAAGTGCCAGGAGCTGGGACCTCAAGTCTCAGGGTCCAGCATCTCTGGCTAAAACATTGTTCCCAAAGCAAACGTTTTCTAACACCTGAGATGACATTGCTTTTCCCTGGGAGGGAGTTGCTTTAGGAGAGAGGAGCACAAATTTGACAAGAACGCTAAAGTGGAAGCTAAAGTGTCAGTAATGATTTGCAACATAGTGTTTGATTTGCTGACACCATAATTAGCCACAAATTTGACGAGAACGCTAAGGAACAGAGTACTGGACACTTAGGTGAATTCACCCTGTTCATGACTTTGCAGTGCTAATAATAGCGATGTTTATTGAGCACTTACAAAGTGCCAGCCCATGTGCCTAGTGTTTTGTATGAATTACTTCATTTACTCCTCAGAACAAGCCTATGTAGAGGTACAGGATTCATTTGAACAGGTTTACCCATATGGAAACAGACTTTTTGATAGATGGATGGGTGGATGGGTGAATGAACAAATGAATGAATGAGAATATCTACAAGGCTACATAGTAATTAGTAGCAAAGTCAGACTAGTACTTGTGCTTTCTAGCTCCAAAAGGCTTTTAACCACTACGCTATAGTGCCTTGCAATCTATACTAATAAAAGGTTAACATGCAAATTGGTCACAATGCCCTCACAGTAACAACCGAACAGCAGGCCGTTGGGGGCCACCAGACTGGCCTTGGGGGGAAAGGGAGGTAGTGAGGGGTGACCAGTAGGGCAGAGTGGGGCAGTGAGGGGCGACCAGGCCAGTGGGGGCGGGAGGCGCAGTTGGGGGTGACCAGGCTGGGGGGGGAAGGGGGCTTGGAGTGACCAGGCTGGGAGAGAGGGGCAGAGAGGGGCGACCAGGGTGGTGGGCGGGCGGGGGTGTTGGGGGGGAGAGGGGGGGCAGAGAGGGGAGAGCAGGGCAGCAGTTTTGGGCAGCCAGGCTGGTGGGGGCGCAATTAGGGCTAACCAAGCCTGCAGGGGGGGCAGTGAGGGTTGACCAGGCTGGCAGGAGGCCAGTTAGGGGTGATCAGGATGGCATGGGGGGCAGTTGGGGGCAACCAGGCCAGTAGGGAGGCAGTTAGGGACAATCAGGTTGTCAGACAGAGGTGGTTAGGGGTGATCAGGCTAGCGGGGGTAGGGGTGGAGGGGCAGTTAGAGGTGATCAGGCATGCAGGCAGGTGAGCAGATAGGAGCCAGCAGGCCCAGATTGTGAGAGGGATGTCCCAGGGATCAGGCCGAAACAGGCAATCGGACATCCTCTGAGGAGTCTGATTGGAGAGGGTCCAGGCTGGGTTGAGGGACCCCATCCCCGGGCACACATTTCCTGCCTATCTAATAAAGAGAGAATATGCTAATTGACCATGACTCCATCACAAAGATGGCTGCACCCACAACTGAGGCCAAGTTCCCATAAGGAGCTTTAACAAGCAATCAGCAGGGATCTGAGGCTATGCTCTCTCCCGCCCCCACGGGGCTTGACAGGGGATCTCAGGCCGTGCTCCCCAGCATGGCTTGACAGGGGACCTCAAGGTGCAATTCCTGTCCTAGTGCTGGGCTAAGGTCCTCAGGTTGCTCTCCCTGTCCCAGCACCAGCGCGGGAGACCTCAGGCCGCTCCACTCACCAGGTGGGGCTTGATAGGAGACTTCAGGCTGTGCTCCTGCCCCAACCGGTAGGGCTTAACAGGGGACCTCAAGATGCATCCCCAGTGCTGGGTCTGGGGAACTCGGCCACGCCCCCACCCAATGGGGCTTGATGGGGACCTGAGGCTGTGCCCCCTCCTGATGCTGGGCCAGGGGACCTGGGGCTGTGCCACCCTGCCTGGTGGTGCTTGACGGAGGACCTCAAGGCATGCTCACCGCCTTGGTCTGGGGACCTGGGACCTGAGGCTACGTCTCCTGCCCGGCAGGGCTTGACAAGGGTGGGACTGGCTGTGTCTGGATCTAGCCCAATTGGTGGTGAGGGGAGGAGGGCGGGAGAGGACAGACCAGGTCTGGGTCTCACGCGATTTTGAGTTGCATGTGGGTGGGCAGGGACTTGACTCTGGGTCCCGTGGCATGCCCCAGACTCTTATAGGAGGAAGGCTTTCATATACATTTTACTAATTTTCTTTAATCTCTGACATTTATAGAGAAAGGGCAAATAGCAATATTAAATTATTTTCTCTAATCCCCCTTTAATTTGCACAAATGTCATGTGCTGGATTACTAGTGTATATATAGATATATAGGTATAGAGATATATAGATATATGCAAATTGTCCCCACGGGAGTTCACCAGGGGGTGGCGTGGAACGAAGGAAGGCCCCAGCTGACATCCCAAAGGCCCAGATCGGTCCTGATCACCCACCAGGCCTAGGGACCCATGCATAAATTTTGTGCACTAGGCCTTTAGTAGGATAATATTTCACTGAAGACTTAGGTATTTCCAGTTAAGAAGAAAATTAATAATGAGTATGTGGAGTTCTCTTAGTTCTTTGTTTCTACATTGTTGAAGCATTTGTATTCTTTGTTTTTCTCTGCCCTTTCACTATTATATCACTATTGAATACTATAACAGAGAGGATGGGAAAGGGAAGTGAAAGAAAAGTTAATATATTTTTTTAATTTGGAAAAAAACACTTAATATATACCTTTTTAACCATTTTTCAGTGTGCAGTTTAGCACTGTTAACGATTTTCACCTGTGGTGCAACAAATCTCCAGAATTTTCCATCTTACAGAACTGAAACTCAATACCAGTTAAACAGCTTTCCATTTTCCCTACCTACCATCCTCTGGCAATCCCCATTCTATTTTCTTTTGAAATGTAACCACTTTAAATACTTTATACAAGTGGAATTATATATATCAATTCTTCACTTAATATAGTCCATATGTTCTGCAATTTTAACCAAAAGGATGTATAATGAAAGCATATTTGCAACAGGCTAATTAATATAAACAAAAATTAAGTTCCTGCCCTGGCTGTTGTGGCTTAGTTGGTTGGATGTAGTCCAGGGCACCTAAAGGTTCCTGGTTCCATTCCCTTGGCACATGCCAAGTTTCAGGTTTGATCTAATTAGAAGATGTCCGAGAGGCAGCTGATTAATTTTTCTCTCTCATATTGATGTTTCTCTCCCTTTTCCTCTAAAAAAAAAAAAAGGAAAAAAAGGGGGAAAAAAATCTTAAAAAAAAAATTAAGTTCCTATGGCATCTCATCAACCTTATAACAAAATGAAGTTGAGCAAAACAAGGGCATGTTTTTTTAACTGGTTTATTTAACTTAGCATGATGCCCTTCAGGTTCATCTATGCTGTAGCATGTAGTAGGACTTCTTTTTTAAAAGTTGCACAATATTCCATTGCGTGTGTATGCCACATTTTCATCATCCACTTATTTGTCAGTAGACACCTAGATTGGTTTTTATATTTTGGCTATTGTGAATAATGCCACTATGAGCATGGGTGTGCAGATACCTCTTTGTGGTCCTGCTTTCAATCCTTTTGGGAATATATGCAGAAAGGGAATTGCTTATATGATTATATTGAAAGTACTATTTTTACTTTTGGGGGGACTGTTACACTGTTTTCCACAGAAGTTGCACCATTTTACATATTCCTACCAACAGGGCACCAGAGTTCACCATTTTCTCCACATCTTCATCAACACTTGCTGTTTTCTATTTACTTGTTTTTTATTGTTGTTTTATAGTAACCATCCTGACCAGTGTGAGGTGATACCTCATGGTGGTTTTGATTTGCATTTATCTTATGATGAGTGGTTTTGAACATATTTTTATGTGCTTGTTGGCCCTTTGTATGTAATCTTTAGAAAGATGTTTGCTCAAGATGTTTGCCCATTTTTTAATTGGGCTATTTTTTAGTTGTAGGACTTCTTCATAAAATCTGGATATTGCCGAAAGTGGTAGAGCGTTGGTCTGCGGACTGAAAGGTCCCGGGTTCGATTCCAGTCAGGGGCATGTACCTTGGTTGCGGGCACATCCCCAGTAGGGGGTGTGCAACAGACAGCTGGTCGATGTTTCTCTCTCATCGACATTTCTAGCTCTCTAGCTCTCTCCTTTCCTCTCTGTAAAAAATCAATAAAAATATATTTTTTTAAAAAATAAATAAATTAAAAAATAAAATAAAATCTGGACATTAACTCCTTATCAGATACATGATTTGCAACTTTTTCTCCTAGTCTGTAGCTTGTGTTTCACTTTCTTGATTGTGTCCTTTTATGCACAAGAATTTTTAAGTTTGGTGTAGTCCCATTGGTCTATTTTTTGCTTTTATTGTCTGCTTTTGATGTTGTATCTAAGAAAACAGTGCCCAGAGTTAATTTTTTAAATTCTCCCTACAGTATGAATACATTTCATTTAGTCACTATCTAATCATAGAGGGACAGTTTGAACTTTAAGCAAGTAACTACCTGAGACAATGTCCTGTCTTTTGAAACCTAGTTCCTCCACCTACTAACTTGTAACCTAAATCTTGGGCAAGTGAGAGAAACCCTTTAGCCTTTAGCTTTTTCCTCTGCAAAATGGGACAATAATGTACTGATTTCATAGAGCTGTTGTGAAGATTAAATGAGTTAATACATGGAAAGCATTTACAGTAAGCACTCTATTATTT